CGGAGGTTGCGGTGAGCCAAGATCGCGCCATTGCACTCCAGCCTGGGTAACAAGAGCGAAACTCCGTCTCAAAAAAAAAAAAAAAAAAAAAAAAAAGTTAACATTAGAACTCATTTCTTAAGAAATATTCAATAACTTTGACAGTAACATGATTTAAAGTGTTAAACTAGAAAAGTCCTTTGCAAAAGCCCACTGGGCATCCTCATGAGGTCTTGTCTTCCTAATCCTGCTGAGCTGTTTCTAGTTCTGCTGCCATTCCTGAAAAGGCAAGGGGCCCAGCTGGTTGCTGTTTGTTCAGATGAGGTAGGCTCAGATGCATAGTTGACAGGCTGCTTCCCCAGTAGACAAGTTGGAGCAGAATGTCAGGAATTTTTTAAACCAAAGGTTACTTATGGTATTAATGAAGCCTTACTCTATCTTAGTCTTTTTTTCTTCTGATCTCATCATTTGATTTATATTTTAGAAAGGCCTACACATAAATATTAAGGAAGAAAATAATTTTAAAGAATAAAGTATCATACTTGACCCAAAGATTTTCATTCCACACATCGAAATTAAGCAGAGAGGGTATGATTATTAAATAATCAATCCTGCTCCTTTCTTGGACATAAGCTTAACAAGGAAAGGTTATTATCTATAAAGACATAAAAGAAACATAAAAGACAATGTGAATAACTAGAAAGACATGACCGTATCTATGAATGGAAAAACTATGTATCGCAAAAATTTGTTAAAACAATTCAATCAATTTTTAATAAGATATTTTGGGGTGGCAATTTGATAGAGTCATTTTATCCTTTTACCTGGCAGATTATATTTCTAGAACTCTTTCTGATGGAATTCATTAGGAATCTAAGAATTATAAGATGTTCCTCTCATTATTTTAACAGTAAACAGCTGAAAACAACTTATCTAGCTAATGATGGGATTAGTTGTGATTTAACAACCATTAAAACATGGTCTTAATGGTGTGTAAAAATGGCAATAAATCATGTCAAGTAAAAACATCTGAATGAAAAACAACACAAATTGTGACCAAATCGTGGACTTTTTAGAAAGCTTTTAAACAAATATTAAAAAGAAAACACACCAAAAAGTTAATGTTATCTCTCACTTAGAATTACATTTGACTTTATTTTTGTTACAAACAGGAAAAAAAATATTTGTGAACAATATCCTGGTACACGGTTCAATCTTTAGTCATGCTAAAGGGAAAAAAATGGATACAGAAAGATATAATCATTAGGATAGCAATTGTATAAAAAGATGCACACATTTTTTTAAAAAACGCATGAAGGAAACACACTAAAATATGACCATCTTGGGTAGTGAGAATATGAGGTAATTTTTATTGTTCTTTATACAAAGTATTTTATTATGTATGCTCTGAATTTTTTTACAGTGAGCATACAAAACATGAGTACACATAATCAGAAAGGGAAAAAATTGTGGTTTTAACACCGGGGGGAAGAACTCTTAGAAAACCTCAAAATAGTTTGTTCTTGTTTAGTGTAATTCACTCACTCAGGCCAGAAACTTGGAATCATTGTTGGGTACCCAACCTGTCACTCAAATCCTATAAATTCATAAATTTATAGGATTTATCAAATCCGTAAAGTCCTGAATTTTCACCTCCTGAATATACTTTTGATTCGTCCACTTCTCTCCTATATGTAGGCTAGGTCACCACCGCTCATCTGCAGTGGTAGCCTCCTGTTTCCTCCTCATTGTTTCTCACAATTCCTGCCTTCCTATAATCCAGTCTTCCCCCGCAGTTATAGTGATCTTTTCAAAATGGACATCAGATCTAGTCGTTCTGCTGTTCTTATGATAAAGCGCCTACTTTGTGTCACGGTGATCCATACCATAATATCTGGTCCCTGCCTCCCTCTTCTGCTACCGCCGCAATGGCCTTCTCTAAGCTCAAGTCACCAAGCTTTCTCCCCGATTCTGCCCTATCGGACAGGTAGTTCCCCCTCTCCTTTCAGCTCCGCTTGACCACTCCTCCCTCCCTTCAACTCCATTTGGAGCCCATTTGCTACAGCGCCCAGAACCCCGGGACTAAGGCTCTTTTTAGTCTGAGGATTAGCTCCCTTTTGGCCCCAATCACAACTTTAAAGAATCGTGCGCCTATCCACTGCCTCCTCACCGAACGATATTTCTTGAGGGAACAGACTGACTCTATCATTCTTGTACTGCATTCTGGAGGCTGGCCTCGTTGGCGCTTGATAAACACCAGCTGAAGAACCCACAGCCATTGTCCCAATGAAACTATTAAAGCTGACCGGACCCTCCCCCTCCCGAGCCGGCCCGTTAGGGCACGAGGAAAACGCACCATCCGGTCCCCAGCGCGTCTGGGAAGATCTCCCGCCCTGAAACAAAACTCACAACTTCCGGAAGCGGTGGTCAATCCCCGTCTCCCCGTGTTCCTCGAGCCGGTTTCCGGATAGGCCAGCTCGGGGTTGCCATATTTTTCCAGTCCCGGTAGGAGGGGTGCTTCCGCTCCTCGTCCCGCCCATGCTTCGCATCTCCAGCCTGAGTCCGGTCTATGAACGCGAAAGAGAACGGGAGCTGTCTGTCGCTTTCGACGAAGAAAACTGAAGACTCTATATGCTGGGACCGGAAACTGAGGTCAGGTTTCGAGTCTCCGCTCTGTCTTAGTCTGTGTTGGGCGATGCACCGGGCGTCCTCGGTTTCTTCCTGTACAAGGAAAAGTACTGACCAAGATGGGTTCTACATGCGTTTTGCTACCCCAGATTTCTTAGTTCTTTTTCAGGGCCTTATCTCCTATGACACTTTGGACTTTTGAGTTTAATGCTGGAACAAGTTGAAACTTTGGGAGATGATTGGGAAGACATGATTATGTTTTGCAATGTGAGAAGGACATGAGATTTGGGGGTGCAGGAGTGGATTGATACAGTGTGAATATATGACCCTGCCGAATCTCATGTTGAATTGTGGTCCCCATTGTTGGAGGTGGGACCTGCTGCGAGGTATTTGAATCATGTAGGTGGATTTCTCATGGCTTGGTGTCCTTGCAATAGTGTGAGTTCTAGGGCGATTTGGTTCTTTAGAAGTGTGTGGCACCCCCCAACACACACTGTCTCTTGCGCCAGTTCTCACCATACGATGTGCCTGCTCTCCCTTCTCCTTCTGCCAATAGAAAAAGCTCCCTGAGGCCTCCCCAGAAGCCAAACAGATGCTGATACTATGTTTCCTATACAGCCTGCAGAACCATGAGCCAATTTAACCTCTTTTCTATATAAATTACCCAGTCTAAAGTATTTCCTAATAGGAATGTAAGAACAGCCTAATTGGGGGAGTGAGAGAGGAGATGGGGAGGCATGACACACTGGTTTAAAACATGAAGGACATTCAGCCAGGCGCAGTGGCTCTTGCTTGAATCCCAGCACGTTGGGAGGCCAAGGTGGGCAGCTTATCTGATGTCAGGAGTTCAAGACCAGCCTGACCAACATGAAGAAACCCCCCGTCTCTACTAAAAATACAGAATTAGCTGGGCGTGGTGGCACCTGCCTGTAATCCCAGTTACTCAGGAGGCTGAGACAGGAGAATCGCTTGAACCTGAGAGGCAGAGGTTTCAGTGAGCTGAGATTGCACCATTGCACCCTAGCCTGGGCAACAAGAGCGAAACTGTGTCTCAAAACAAAAACATGAAGGACATTCTATTTCTAGGAGAGACGAGAAGCTGTTCTGGTTAGTCTCTCTTTATCACAGGATGCTATATTCCCAGCACATTCCACAGTTATCCTAGAGAACCATAAATGAGAAAGGAGAAAGAACTAAGTTGATCCAAGACCACCTGGAGAACTGTCCTGCAGTCTGTGCCCTTAATTCAGATTATCTCCCCTAGCAAAGCTAGTCCATTTCATATGCCCACCAACCTCTTAGTATCTGGAGGCAGAGATTTGTCTTATCAGATCGGCGTAACACCTTGACAGACACAATGTCAGTGCAACATTGTTAAGCCATAGCCAGAATGCATTTTACTAGGCCCAGGAGGACGGCTTAACAAACAGCTGATCAGGTCCACCTGGAGCAGCAAACTAGTCGCGGATATAGTGATCCAGGTAACAAGTTTCTAACAAGGTCCAAAAAGGGTCCCTAAGAGGGGCCCAGTATCTGCAGCAAGTGGGCCTCCTCCCAGATCTCCCCTAATTTTTCTATAATACATAAGTTGTTCTCTAGGTACAGTAGCAGCTGTTGGCAATCGAACAAACTTGTCTCAGTTTAGTAAGTGGAAGTCTAGAGTAACTACTTTAATACAATCTTCCTGGCCAGGTGTGGTGGTTTATGCTTGTTATCCCAGTGCTTTGGGAAGCTGAAATAGCATGATTGCTTGATGCCAGGAGTTCAAGACCAGCCTGGGCAAAATAGTGAGACCCCCCCCCCATCTCCTAAATATTTTAAAAAATAGCCTAGTGTGGTGGTGTGCACCTATAGTCAGAGCTACTTAGGATGCTAAGGTGGAAGATCACTTGAGCCCAGGAGTTTGAGCTATGATCATGCTACTGCCCTCTGGTATGGGTAACAGCATAAAATCCTGTCTCAAAACAAAATAAAAAAAACTCAAAGGAGTTGAGGGATGTCTGCTGAGCTGCCAAGGAAGTGGCAATAGAGGAAGCGGTATCTGCCATGCTCAGGGATAGATTTCTTATCAGTTTTTCCCAAACACTGACTCCTATGTGTGGTACCAAAAATCTCAAAAAGAACATAAACCAAGGGTCACTTGCACCTCCTGGCAGGTGTCTAGTAAGCCTGGGGTATGACTTTAGGCTGCTGGCCCACTGGTGTGACTCATTTCCAAGGGTAATATCTAGGGACACCCAAACATGCCCAGCGTGCAATATCCCACCATTCATCAGCTTTTCAAGTATAACACTGACCACACCATATTTGGGTGACCCTGTACTGCTCACAGAGAAAAATGTAGACCTCAGGTGCATGTAGCACCCCTTCTCCCATTTTATTGTTCAGTAACCCATTCATTGGTATGAAGGCATTAGCCTTTGCCTGCAAAGTCTCAAATTAGTCATATGAACTTGGTTTCCCCCATTCAATATTGTTCATGAAGTCCCTACATGGAAAGCTAACAGTAGTCCAATTCTTGTTTCCATTGTCAACACTGGGATGCTTCTCATCCAAGTAAAGGAATATAATGGGTTAAAACTACCAGCTGACCGAGGTTGTTGTCATGTTTTGCCACTTTTGGCCAATTAAGTCTCCCTCCCTCCCATGTAGCAGGGGCTAGATTCTCACTAAGTAAGCCGGGGCTCAGGTTCTGTTAATATTCACTGCGCCACTATAATACTGGTAGAGTTTACTACTGGCAGGATAAGAAAGTTGCTGTAGTCTGTGACAGAATGGGGTCTGCGATGACAGATCTAGCACTTTCCTTTGGTGGCCACAGCTTGGGAGAGCCTAACAAAGGCATTATGCTTCCAGGCCTCTATTCTCACGTCCTTATGGAAAAAGCAGAGTGACCAGTTAGTGCCCTGCCCCTTAGACTTCCTGCATCCTCAGGTATTCCCTACCTATCAGTTAGAGGTTGGACTGAGTGTAGTGTCCCAGTCTGACGGCTGAAGTCCCGAGACTACCTCTTCCCCTTGTTGCATGAACCAGGCCTTTTGGCTTTAGTCATCCATCAAGGAAATGAGATTTGTCCTGGACAATCCTGACATGTTGATAAAGTTACCCACCTGTATAGAAGAATCGGGTGTTCCTGGTGCCACTAATCCTAATATCCTGGTACTCCTTGGTCCTGTGCTGTATCCCTGTGGATTTCACAGAAGAGAGGCACCTGGAAGAAGTATCACCTCTAGATTAGAGTCAGGGGGCCCTGTCTGGGGTGTTCTGGCAGCCTGAACTACAAACCACCTACAGGATGTGCACTCTAAATGGAAAAAGAAAAAAGAATGATTGGGAACGCTGAGATTGGAATTTCACAGATGCAGCCAAATCAGGCAGTTACCTGGTCCACCTCCGTCCACACCAAGCTCAGTGTTTTTCAAGATATGTGCAGTGCTGTGTTTCCCTTGGAGTATAGTGCTTAGTATCCATGCTGCCCTAATCAGATCGAGGTACCACTCCACTAGCAGGCTGTCCTGATGTCCTTTATTCCGTTGCTTTGTGAATTGGCTGTTCCATCATTCAGTTGCTCCTGTGGATGACAGAGTGCATGGAAAACCCATTGTATTGCATGATACTGTGCCCACTGTCATGTTGCTTGGGCAGTGAGGATTTTCCTTGGTCAGAGTGAAATCCCATGGGGTATCGAAAAACATGACAGAAGTCCTCTCAAGGGCAGCTGTGGTAGTCAGAGCATCCACATGAGTGGCATATGGAGTCCCTTCCAACAGCAAGCTGTTGCCATAGTCCCTGTCCTCACACATGGGACCTTTTAATGGTCCAGTCACTGTTGCCATTCCCCTGACCAAATGGCTAGGCTGTTGGCAATGGCTCATGAGTCAGTAAAAATGTGGGATGATATGGTGGTAGGTGGGAGGGGCCGTTAAGGCTCAAATCCTTAGTTGTTAGGGGTCATAGCCCCTCTGGTGACAGTGATGTTCTGTGCCACAGGCAACTAAAATGTCAATGCCCATAAAGCACTCAGTGCGGGGAACCATGGTGACTGACACCTGAAATGGCCCAAAGCGCCCCACCCACAAGCAGATAAGCACTATGGGTCACCGAGTTCATCTGCAAGCTTCCTGGTGTCACTGGCTTAATTTTTCCCCTAAAGGAACCTTCGATGTCTAAGAACTCCAAAGAAGGCAGAATTTCCATCTTTCCCCATTATATCTTTTT